TTGCATTCGTCAAATTCAAGGTGAATATATGCTTTTTCTATATTCATTTACATTTTACATGTTGTCGAATATAAGATGAATCTATATTTTTTTGGGGTCATGAATTTTGCATCTGGTGTATGGAAATTGAAACAAAATGTGAGATTCCTTGAAGATTATCACATATAAGGACACAAGAGAGACGAGAGGAGATAATGGCCACCTCATAGGGACAACATGGGAACATAGAAGACATGAATGTGAAGGCGATCAATCGCAGGCAACCACTTACACTGTAGATGCACAGGATTGACTACTCAAACTGCTGGACAGTACCTGAAGCTATGGAACCCAATGAAGAAGGGTCTCAAATCATAGTAAAAAGTCATAAGCTTTGGGATGCTTTTTGGATAAGTGTGTGCCATGTTCTTTGTGTTTATACTTGAAAATGAGGACAAGGGACTTCATTCCCGTTTTGGTTCCGAGTGCAAATAAATTGAAGAGTTGGAAGAGAATGAGTCTCGTCAAATATGTTCCGAATGAGAGTTGGGTCCTAAGACCTTATCCCTATTGAACCACCGGCCAAACGGTTTCCTTCCTATTTCGACCTTGGAACTCTTTGGGGGTAAAAAGAATATTTTAGAAGATTAAATTTAGAAAAAGGAGAAAAGAGGATAACCACAAATAAACTACCAAGCTAGGGAAATAGAGATACACAAAGGTAAATAATCTAACTATAAAATGCAAAAAGAACAAGAAAATGAACAACATATAATCTATGAAATCGGAACCACTACTTAGGCTAAGCATGCAATATCTAAGCAAAAGGGAATAAGAATATGAGGATACAAGGACAAACACAAAAATAACGGGGGAGAGAAAACTCCTTTAAAGAGAAAGAAAAAGTAGAAGAATAAAATATTAAAGAGAGGGGACAAACAAAAAGGAGAATAAGAATAAAATATTGAACAAGAGAAAGAGGGGGTGAGTAATAGACAATGAAGAAAGATAATAAATGATAGGGTGAAAATAAATACAAGAAAGGATGAGAAAAAAAAGGAGGCTAAACTATTGAACAAAATATAAGGGAAACAAGCAAAATAGTTATATGGGAAAGAAGAAGAAGGGGACATAAATAAATGGGATCTAGACTACAAGATAAAAGAAAAGAAGTGAAGAGTGAATATCATTAACTTTGGAAAATAAACACGAAAGAGAAGAGGAAATGCTTAACGAAATAGGTGAGGCAGAGAGGGAGATCTATATTATGAAAGGAAGAAAAGAGAAATAGAAATAAATACAACAAACTAAGAAAAGTAAATCTTGCAAAAGAAGAGGAGAATAACTATTTAATAAAAGAGAGGAGAGAGAGAGATCTATGCTATAAGATGAACAAAACAAGGGAAAAAATAAAAATAAATGCAGCTAACTAAGAGAAGTACATGGAAGAGAAAAGGAGGATGAACTAGGTCATCAATAAAGAGATGGGAGAAGGGAAGACATAAATACAACTTAATAAAAGAAAATAAATGCAAGAAAAAGAAACTAGACTCTAAATAAGGAGAAAAAGAGATAGAAATAAATATTATTAAATAGGAGAAATTAATACTAAAATAAAAGGAGAAGATGAGAGGAAAAGCTAGATCACAAATTGAAGAGGGCAAAAGAAGAAAGTCATGACTATAACTTATAAATGAAATAAATGCTAGAAAAACAAATTAAAAATAAAGAAAGTAATATTTAAGCCAGGCCCGACGCTCAGAGTTGGCACCCATTCAGATCGAATCATTGCACAGTAAATCCTGAACTTTCGGTTTTTAACAGGGCAAATAAAAATAAGATGAAAAGGGACTAGACAGTCGGATTATTCAGACCACATTTTGTTTGATAGGATAGCTTGGAGGGGTTAAAAGCTTAGTTTTAGATTGAAGGGTTTAGGAGGAATGGGGTTTGCTCAAATGGGCTCACCTTAGGGTTTTCTCACAACCTCAAGCTTGCACTGAAGACCAAGGTTTTTTGAACATAGAATAGGCTCATGATTAAAGAACGGACATTGCTTAGGCTAAAAAATTATCAAGATCTGGACCTTCAGCTTGAGGCAAAAGGAGGTATTTATACTTCATAAGAAAAACGGACCATGTACAGCCTACAGGTTGTGTGAAATTTGGACCGTCAGAGTTCTGGCGACATTTGGAATGGCACCAGCTGCACTTGAATCAGCTCCATGTCATCAATATTGAAATAATGATGCTCAACAAATATTAATTACTCATTAATGCTATTGATACCGCCCTATCAGTATTTGGCGCCATTTGCAATGGCGTCAGTGGCTTTCTGACTGCCTTCAAATTCTGTTTTGGACATGTGTCGCGTTCTGGTGATTTTCATCTAGTTTTGATGGACCAATCACAACTTGAAGGTATTCCTAATGGCACCCACGACGTTTGTAGTGTCGCCAAATGCTAGTTGGCACGGCGCCTTGGTTTTACTGACTTCTAATCTTCGGCCAATTGTATTTCGACAACCATGGTCCTTATTGACATCTGACATGTCAATACAACCTTGCCAAGTCAATGGGTATGGTCTGACATGTCATTATGTCATCTCAGTCTCATCGATCAGCCTGTTTCTCACCTTGTGGAGGTCTTTAGGTCTGACAAAGTTTGAAGTGGAACTGTCGTTAGACTTCTGGTCAGTCCGGAAGCTCATGGGGGGCCTTGTGTCTGACGTTGTTTGGAGTGGCACTGATGCCACTAGGAATGATGTCAGACTTTTGTTCCTTCTAGCCACTTGTTCTGTGACTGAGATGCCTTCGGTGTCGTGCCTTTGGGTTTTAGTAGGGCCTCGGTGGCCATTGAGGCAACGTTAGAGCCTTCCCTTCTTAAAATGCTTCTACATTAGGTTGTTCTGAATATGTCTTGCCTAACCTCACCTCTTGATGCCTTTGGTTCCATTGGGGCAATGTTGGATCAGTGAAGGCTAGGTTTACGTGCGGTGAATGGTTCAAAATATCCGAGTGGTCTATCTAGGACATTTCAACTATCAATAATTTCTTCAGTCGAGATCGGGGTGTCTACAGTTGCCTCTCTTTGTCGCTTGTGTGTCAGTCGAGCGGTGAAACATAAGGCAGTAAAGAAGTAGACCCCAACAGTAAAAAACTTGGGTGGAGGAGAGAGTTTGGATTCTTCATCCATGGAATCCTGGCATCACAAGGGGCCCATAATGCTTGATAGTCACGCTCAGACCCAGGAGATTAGCTTAGCCCATCGTGCTGGGTGTCGCAGGTTGGTTACTCCTGATAGTCAATGTTAGGGACACAGAGGTTAGCTTAACCGATCGTGCGGGACATCATAGGTTTGTCGCTCTGCTTGTAGGTCATAAGTTGTTGTGCTATTCTCCTGAGAACTCGCAAGTCAAAATAATCTTGACTAGAATGTAGTAGATGAAAAGGGAGCAGAAATCTCGACATAATAGATCATAGATGGCTTCATATCGTAGGAGTGTTCCTAAGGTTGTCTAAGGTTGGTGATGGTTTAGGAATTAGGAATATTTCTTTTTGTTTTCTGGCTTTGATGGGGAAAAGGTACGATATGCAGTATCTACTTGCCGTAGTTATTTCCCGTTAGATCGAGTAACTATAAGTGCATTATGATCATCATTATCGGGGCCGTTCTAACTCCTTTGTTTTCGAAAATCATTTTTTTAAAGAACGAATGTTTTGAAATCAAGGAGAAAGGTTTTTAAAACAAATGCTAATGCCTGGTTACGATTTGAACTAAAAAGATTAAAGTTTTCGAAATCACATACACATAGGGAAGGTTTTTGATGAAATTCCAGAACGAGTCGCCCCAGTATTGGATTTCAAAATTTTAAAAGAGACGATTTCTAAATATTATAAATAGACTTGGTTCGCATTTTAAACTATACGACCAATGAGTCATCTGAGTAGTTTAATGTCATACACCAATGGATGGAGTTGAGCAATTTAACGTGATTAAATCATGGATAATTATGAGAATTGTATTGCCTCTAGCGAGTATTGTAGAAGTTTTGAAAGGACATTGGCATTGGCCAACCATATGATTGCTTCGGGGGTTCGATATCCATCTTTGGTTGGATCTGGGTCAGTTTGGAAATTAAAGAGTGTGGCGACATTGCCAAAGTCGTCAGAGATGTTCCGACTGTCTCCAAACGACAGAAGGGTATGTTGGTCATTTACTGACACGGTGCCCCAAGGTAATCATCCATCGAGTATAGCTTGTCCATTTTTCAACCAATGTGATGTTGCCTTGAATCCCTTGAGCACTATTGTGAAATGGTGAGTCATGGTTGTGGGCAACATTGGAAATGCCTTTAGCGACAGTCTGAATGCCTTCAGACGGTCAAAGGAAATTTTCGTTATTTCCTGACACAAGCCATAAGGGAATCATCCATCACTTTAGGCATGTCTTGATTTTGGTCGATTAGACTTGCCTTTCATCCCTTGGGCATTGGTGTGATATGGCAACACAGGGAGTGTGGCACCATTGGCAATGCCGTTGGTGCCATTCCAAATGACTCCACATTATTGTCAAGGGTACCACAGTCATTTGATTCGTGTTGGGCCTGAGGGGAATCATACTAGTGGTTTCACAACCCCACCCCCCCCTGTCGTACTAGCCGGAGGGCAACAAGGTGGGGGCCCATGATCAAAGGTAGCGAATGCCACTCAGGTGGGAGTGTGCTCAATGCTATTAAAAAGAATGAATTAAAGCAAACCACGAAAGAAAACAAAACTTCAAACAAAACTGGATAAACTAAAACCGGATAATATACAATTTTCCAAGTGTTTACAAATTATCCAGGCAACCAAAGGCCTAACAACAAAATACATAGCTTCAAAGAAAAACAACTATGTGGCCAACTGCCATCTAACACCTACAATCAAAAGGAAGTTTCCTCGTCAAGTTCGAGGCTCCAATCGTCAGCCTCGATCAGCCAACCGCCAGTCTTCAACCTACGAGCTATCACTCTACAGAGATGAAAATCAAGGGAATTAACTATGAAGCCCAATAAGTAGATCAAGGCACCATTCAACCCTGCTTACACATAGTAACTCGTATCCATACTCCAGGTTCATACAAGTCTTGCTAACATGAAACCATGCATAACAATTTATTTAGCAATGTGTCATAAGTGATTCCTTTTTATGGTGGAACAATCACAATTCAGATATCAGATATCATATGAATTAGCAATTTATCAGGTTCCCATCACAAGCATCATAGCAAATTATCATAAGCATAACAAGTATAAACCACAATAACATGCATTAACCAACTCACTCCCTAATTTACGTACTCCCGAAGTAGAAGCCCTATCCATCAGGCCAAGCCAATCTCATGGCTTAAAACACCTACCATCACTCAAGAGGGAAAACAATGACAAATGGGAGAATCCATTTCGAAATGTTTTCACACACACACAGTCCCCAGCGTGCTTTGGGACTTTTGATAGGCTCATGCCTTGCAAGACCTGATATTCTCCCTTTTACATTTCACAGAATTTTGGGGGGTGCGACCCTCCCAACATACACTCCTCCTAACTCCCTACTATCATAGGGAGTTAGGGAACTGTCGGCACCAGTTGGCAATGCAATATGCTCAAAGCATGTCAATAAATCACATATCATCTCCTGGTCATGAGAGACACTCAAGCATGCCAAGAGATCTCATAGTCAGGCCATGCAATACGCTCAAAGCAGGTGTGTGACGACCCAAATTTTTCCCGGCCTAATAGAGTATACGATGGAAGAGAGAAAAAGTGTGAGAGCACACGACAATGTCAGAGTGCATAGCAGTGAGAGTGCGTGACAGTGAGAGCATGCGATAGTGTGAGAGCACGCCACAGTGTGAGAGCACGTGACAGTATGAGAGCGCGCGACAGTGAGTGCGCACGACAGTGAGAGCGCACAGTAGTGTGAGAGCGTACGATAGTGGAAGAGAGCACGACAGTGTGAGAGCATGCGGCAATGAGAGCCTGCGACAGTGAGAGAAGCAGAAAAGAGTGTCGTCGTGCACAACAAGCCTATGCATGACCCATGGTTGCCACCTACGTGCTGCATGGTACCACACACACACCACTTGTCCTAATGCATGTGTGGGGCTTACCACTTATCAATCTTTGGGCTGCCCCTCCAGCCAGCATGGTACTTAAGCCCCTCCCTTTCTCTCACACGCCATTTCTCTCTCTCTCTCTCGAGCCCAATACTTAGAACTCAAGTTTGGGAGCTTGGATTTTAGAGGAATCTTAGTGGGGAACTTGGAGTCTTTTGGGCACAGGTAAGTAGATTATATTATTATGTGTCCATAGTGTTGTTTACAGTGTAAAATCGAAGAGATCTATATGTGAAGATCGCTCAAATTTGACACTTCATATCTGAGATCAGATCTGTCGAGAAAGAGCAGATCTGCTCTCAGATCTGTGGTAGAGCCAGCATGATCCAAGGCATTTCAAAATACGATTTTTTAATAAAAAAACATAAAAATAAGATCAAAACAAATAAATAAAATAAAATGAACAAGAAATGAAGGGAGAATGAATATCTGATCAGGTCAGATGTCTCGGGACTCGCGAGCCCCTAAGGGTTTGCCTGTATCAGAACTGGTTCCTCATATGTCTCTCTGATCCAGATAATAGCAAGCAAGTCTTGATTGGATAGGGTGGTTGTGCCATGGATCTGGTTTAGAACTAGGGTTCTCAAGAGCTAAGGTTTTCTCTCTGTATTCTCTTTTTATTTCTCCCAAGTTTCTATCTCTATCTCAGGTGTCTTTATGTCAGCGCCCACATCTCTAAAATTTCTCAGGTCTCTTTCTTAGGCTTTTCTTTCTCTTTTCTTTTCTTTCTTTGTTAGTCCGTCCTCCCTTTCTCTCTCCAGTCTCCCCCCTAAATTGTCCCCCATGAGATCCTAAAAAGGGGGAAATTATCTTGGGAGGAATATCTCTCGCAACCAACATATTCACCCAGTCAAAACACGTTTTGGAGGCTCACGGATTTGGGCGGCACAAGTTGTGTCTCCTAGGCGACAAAATTCGTGTCGCTTGAGCAGCACAAGTCGTGTCGCATGGGCAGCACAAGTCGTGCCGCATGGGCAGCACAAGTCGTGCCGCATGGGCGGCACAAGTCATGCCACCAATGCAGCACAAATCGTGTTGCACAAGCGGCACAAGTCGGGTCACCTAGGCAGCACAAGTTCTGCCGCACAAGCGGCATAAGTCGTGCCGCACAAGCGGCACAAGTCATGCCGCACAAACCAAATTTTGTCAAAATTAATATTTTTCACTTTCGATGTGTTCCTCAGCCTCTCGTGAAGCTCTCAGAAAAAATTTGGGTCCAAATGGATTTTTTTGCTATTTTTAATTTTTTTTTGGTAAAACAGGGCATTTATAGGAATCTGAGCTCAAACATGGTGTAACAAGGTTTATGGGCTGGCAGAATGGTTCTGCGTCCAAGGGTAAGTTGTGTGACCTATAGATTTTGGGTTCACTAAGTCAATGTGATCCTAATAGTCCAAAAATATCACAGAATTTGCCAGATTTAAAATGGGGTGTCTACAGTTGCCCCTCTTTAGCACTCCCTGTCCTTCGAGGGACAGGTGAGTGGCAAAGATGTAGACACTCTAGCACTCCCTGCCGTTCGAGGGGCAAGCGAATGTCAAAGATAAAGTAGACATTTTAAATTTTGTCCTGATGTCACGGAATGACAACATCTCGTGACGCACAATGTTGTCGACCAGGGCATCTATGTTTGGTAATGGAAAATTGTCTTTGGCACATGCCTTGCTGAGGTTTCTGTAATCGACAAACACTCGGATCCTCCCGTCTTTCTTGGGCATGACCACTATGTTGGCTTAATCGGTGGGAGTAATGAATCTCGGTTTGAGCAGTTTTTTTATTTCTTATTTGATTTTGAGCTCAAGGTGAGTCTTTTGACGTCAGAGTTTCTGATTTACAGGCTTTGCTCCTTCGTTGAATATTAGGTGATGTCACATCAAAATGAGATCTAACCCTGACATATCGTTGTATGACCAGACGAAGACATCTCAAAATTCCTTGAGAAAGAAAATCATATTTTTCTACCCCTCAGAAGATAAGGAGGTTTTAATCTTGGTTAACCTTGGGTCCGTCTCAGTTCCTAGGTTCACGTCAATCGTCTCTTCGATGATAGTCCTTGGGTCACCATCGAAACGTTTATTGAATTGCTCAACATGAGAAGTAAGTTCTTCAGGTTGAGAGATTTCTTCAGACTCTTGGCTCTCTTGATCTTCATCTTGGTCGTCCAATTCATCGTCTTGGGTATTATGCACAGTTATTGGGCTATCTTGAGTGAGCGCTGTTTTTAAAAATTCTTTTTCAATATTATCAATTTTATTTTGTTTTGAATTTTCCACGGTTTTTGAAATGTTGCATGGGGTGTCCCTTATGGGACTCGTGAGAGAAATGTTGGGGATCGAACGCGCAGGGTGGTTAGATGGCGACCCCGCTCCTATCCGTTTTTTGGCACCGGGACTTGAAGGTGCCACTGGTATGCTTCCAATGATTCTCGAGATAAAGGAGTGATCGACCAATTTCGTCCCTGGGTTGATGTTGGTGGATGAACACCCTTGTTTGTGTTAGAGCCATTTGTGCACACCTGCTCTAGATCCAGGTTAGCAAATACGTCTTCAATTCCTAGTCCCTCTGTGTGTTGAGATGTGCAAGAGGGACTATCCCTTGTTGGGGATTCGAGGTTCACCTTCGGCCATTTTGGAGGACGGGCATTGAGAGGATCGAGGCTTTGAATGCCTCCAAATACAAAGATCAGATAGCTTGAAGGCTTCACCCGGCTTTGAAATAGAGTGAGAGAACACTCAAGTCCACTTTGATTCCCCTTCTCAATTTTAGTTTGGGGTGGTGCAGAAATCGCCTCCATTACACCTCGCTCTTGATTCCTCAAGCCTTGGCCTGGTTGGAAGCCTTGGGAGAGGAGCATGTGCCAAGCTTCGAGGGACCCAATACTATATCTATGTTGGCCTTCAATGATGTCCTCCATCGATGCGGAAGTTTGCAAAATTTGAGGATCAGGGTTGCTGGCCTCTAGGTGTAAGGTGGTACAATCAGCTTGCTCAAAGGAAATGAGTGGGATTTCTTGAAGCTCGACCCCTACAACTAACTTCATGTTGTGTATGCTAAAATTAACAAAAGCAGGCGGTTCAGCGCATACCTTTTTGCGACGCCATTTTTCGTTGGAAATTTTAGGCATTGATGTTGCGTGGAAGCGACCACGAGGTTTTCGGGCAGCCAGGGTCTTCCTAGCAACATGTTAAAAGAAGGTTTTATGTCCAAGACATAAAACTTTACCTGCTGAATGGTGGGACCAATCTTGAGTGTGAGAGGCAATATGCCCTCAGCCTGCCTCTTGGTCCCATTGAAAATTTGGGGGTAAATTGTGATAGTTTACCTGTTTAAGATGACCCCTAGACAATATATATTGATGAATTGACTTGACCCAACTTGATGGCATCACCGTCATATGCTAAAGTAAGAGCCACAACCCAAATGCAGCCTAAGACAGCTACCAGCTCATTCATGACACTTGGCCATCTCCTAAACTCAATCATGATGGAGTCATATCCAAAAGATCATACTTAAACTTGATTAAATGCTTCAATATCTATGAGATGTTTCTCTGAACAAGGAATGTAGAAATTCTGGCTTCCGACTAGATTCTCGCCGCATATCTGTCACTCATTGACCATTTTTTGGAGGTAACTCCCATGCTCCTCGATTTGTAACGGCAGTTTCCTTTGCGACTCATTTCGTATAGACATCCAATTAGAAATATCTGTGTGTGTGTGTGTTTTTTGTTCGTTGGTGGGAAGAGAAGTTCTCTGAAATCTAAATTCTAAATATTTTGGTAGTAAGAGCAGGTAGTTCTTGTGTTGATGAGACCAGCACGAACTTGGTAGTGTTTGGGTCATAACTTAGTTCTGGTCCCGCCTACGCAGGGTCTTGGGAGGGGTGAGCTGGAAACGGTCCTAACCTTTGGTTTTTTATGCACAAAGTGGCCGCTCTCAAGACTCAATCCCACGCTGTTGCACTGGCAACCCGACCCGTTAATCATCACACCACGTGATGGCTCCTCAACTTGGCAGTATAGATTTCATAATTTAATATAAAAACAAAATAATGATAGAGAGGGAAATTTAGTACAAGGAGAGTTAAAGGTCGGGCCAAAATCGAAGCAAATTTAATGGGGGCACCGACACAAACAGACCAGCTGCCACATCATCGTTCCTCTAACAAATTGCCATATAAATGCATAAAACTTTGTATCAAGTGTAGCTTTGCCTCTAACATTTCAAGGGAACATTATAGATAAATAGTAAGAGAAGTGAGCATGTCAATATGATAACCCATTCAAAGTTTTAAAGGTCAAATTCAAATCATATCATTGCATTTCCAGAATGGTGGCAATCTAGGACATGGTTTCCACCAAGTACTTAATAAGCATCAGCTATGACCATTCAAATTCACGACCCAGCATCATCTCAAGTGGGAAAAACTACAGTGGAGGTTAAATTCGGTTAAGTATCCATGTTTAGTGACACTCAGATGTTGTTTTCCACATTCAGAAGCCTATAAGGGATGCCTATATCCACACACACACAAAACTGATGTCTATATCACACAAATATACATAAACGGATGTCTATATCACATACACAAACACACATAGAGAGCGAGAGAGAGAGAGAGAGAGAGCAAATGCATGCTTGAGATATTACGAAATATTTTACAAAGGAACCATCATGGTTCTCATGAGTAATCGCCCCATAAAATATATGCTCATAAGAAGATAATTAGATGTATATCAATTCTCACTTTTTGTCAAAATGCTAAATTTTATACCTCAAAGTTCAAACCATCACATGGGGAAACAAAAAAAGCAGAAACCAAATTAAGTAAAATCACAGCAAATCAGTTGAAGAAACCCAACAAATTGCAATTGATGCCTTATTATCTAGAATAAAAAATGTTTTCAAGTTTGAAGAATCTTTATTCCAATTTCACCGCGAACCCATCAAAAGTATGAACTAGATAGAGCAAGTAAACACAGGAAGCCACGACAATGTAAAAAATTACCTAAAAAACAGTGTCATGTATGTATTATTCTAGAGAGAGAGAGAGAGATCGGTATAGAAAATTGCACCTGAAACCATGAGAGGGAAGGGCTTCACTCTACTGTATGAGTAGGAACTCTACCATGGAAGAAAGCAAGGGCTGGGGCAGCTTAAGAGAGCGCCATTGCCATGACTCGACCTATGAACACTAGTTCTTGCACCACCCAACTGGTTTTTTTTCAATGTAGCTCTCTCTCTCTCTCTC